GCGCGTCTCCGCGCCGAGGCTTCGGTCCAGCATGCCCGGCCAAGCCCAGCCGGTGCCCGCCGAACCTGCCCTTCAAAAGCCCCCCGAGGCACGCACGCACCTTCCGAGGCACCAGCAGGAACGCTGCCCCACGGGCCGGGTAGCGGTGACCGCCGTACAGGCAGATGGCGTAGAGGATGGGTGTTAAAATGTGCGCCGGGACACGATGCGTGTCCGCCAAAACCGTCTCGGCTTTTCTTGCGGGAAAGCTCCTTTATCTCCGAAGTTCAGCTAGGGGGATGCAGCTTTTGAAAAGCAGAGACATACACAGGCAAAATGGGACGTATTAAAAATTCCTAAATGATGAATGAGGGGAAGTGGTCCATAGAGACTGATGCGTAGTTTTTGTACTGCTGCATGCTTTGAATTGTTGAAGTTGCTGTTAGGTGTCTAACTAAATTAACTCAGGTGGCAGAAAGGTACTTTTTACATTTAGGTAAGAGGAACATAAAGTGTAAGAAGACCAATGAAAAGCGGTACAGCAAAAGAGCATAGTGACTGATTTTCAAAAGGTGTGACTCGAGTTGGTTTATTTTACACAACAACTTTACTTTTTTTGCCAGACAGAAGTCTTACATGCCTCAGATATATAAGTAGTACTAACAGTTATAATGACTGTAAAATTACAAGGACAGTAGCCTATCCTAGTTTTAGTATGATTTTTGCACATCATCACACGCGGGGGTTTACTATAGCGATGGGAGCCTGTTGTCTGCCACAGAACATAAAAGCAGCTAGAAGAAATGCCCGATGCCAAACTACTGCTATGCAGTCAGATTGCCCTTGATAAAATATGACACAACAGAAGAAACAGCAGTTTACGAAAATGTGAAGTAACTGTAAATCGGTTTATACAGAGAAATTGCCGTGATACATTTTAAAAGATTAAATGTGAACCTTTTTTTAACTTGAAATTAGCAAATTAATTTAAACACGAGAGAATAAAAACACTTAGAGATACACGACTACACTTCATATTTAGTTTGAAGTTCTTGAGGGTGTATTTACTTTCTTTAGAGAAGGCTTAAGAACTGTTTCATACCGCATTTCAACGCACATTTTAAGCCTTAATTGGAAGGTAAGTACTTCACAGGAACTGTTTTCACTTTGCATGGGTGGAGGCTGGTGATTCCATCCATCGTTTATATAAAATAGTTGTTATGAAAAGCTTCATGTTGTCTCTTGAGCTGTAGTTGCCATACATGATGCACTGTTCACTGGAATAAATTGTGTGCAATGACAACACGTATCTAGAAAATATGCATTAGAGAGAAGGATCTGTTATGTCGATTACTCTATCACTGAGCACGGATTATACCTGAAAGTGATTTTTGTTTTACCCAAACTACTTTAAAATGCCTTACAGGTTACAGTAGGTAGATGTGCATTTTGACACAAACCAGAATGTAAGCTGCAGTGAAGTGTTGCACGTCCTCAGCTAACGGGACTTCACATGGTTTCCCTCTCCAACAGATTGGGAAACAGAATGCCATTTGATGGAGCCAGTGAACCTGACCATGCCCACGGGTCATTAAAGTCTGAATCAGACATTTTGCAGAACACACTACCTGAAAATGAGAAATTCTACTTCGATCTGTCCAGAATTATTGATAGGTGAGTTTCTTTATTATCATAAATACAGTGATGACGCGCTACTTGAATTATGCCAAAAGATCGGTCACGTTTTCAAACTGAGAAATAGGACAGGAAGAATCCATTACAGAAAAAAACCACATGGCCTCTGGTTGAATACTGGTAGCAGTAGGAATGTCTGCAGAAATGTTGATTGCATTGCCGTTCTGGCACGATGAGTTCATTCACTTCCCAGGAAGGGCTAAAAAGTATATTGTGAAAATCTGGCAGTTGTTTTATGAAATTAGCTTAATTTAATATGTACAATAGATAACTTAAGGAAAGCAGTATGTTTACAAAATGAACGTTATCAAAATGATATGAACCCAGGTTGTATTGTAGAGTTTATTTATTGTCCATTTCAGAAATGCAAGGCATGCTGATGGAATTTTCACCAGTGTCTACAGCCATCTTTTGGCTAAACTTGCTGTGAAGAGATATCTGCATTCGCTTATTAGAAAACGAGTTAGGTGAGGTGACACTTACATTAGGTAGAGTCTTTTTCTAGCTGGCTTCATTGGCAATTTTTTACCCTTCTGTACCTAAGTTCTCATTTTTGCGATTTAGAGATAATGAAAGAGAAACCGGTATAATGATGGGGGAGCTGAAAATCCTATATAACAACTTAGTGGTATTTATTACTAAATGAGTACGTTACTATTTATTCCTGATACAGCTGTGAGGGGTAGAGCAACAGACACTGCACATAGCACTGATAATAAATACTGGCAATATTATAATGAATATCACGCCAGTTTGCTAATTTTTTTCTCTGGTAGTGTTTTTGCTAGCTTGGCGGATGAATGGCAAAAGTAAATACAAAATGATTGATTACTCAGTACCCACATAACAACAGGGGAATGCTCAATGAAATTAAGAAGTGATTGGTTTACAGTGAAAACAAAACGGAATGATTTTTTTCCTACTGTAGAACATATTGCCAGATGTTTGGGAGATCTGTGTTATAGAAGGATTCGAAAAAGAATGAGGCAAATCCATTGACAAGGGATCTGGATGCAACTTCCAGACCAGGATGTTCACAAACTAATGGTCACAGGATGCTGGGAAGGATCACCGTACACGTCCCTTGTTTTCATATCCCTAAGCAGCAGCTACTGGGCACTCTTGGGAACGGAATAGTAGAATAGTTTGGTCTGACCCAATATGACAGTTCCTTTGAGTGCCTACTTCATACTCTCAAAAGCTGAGTGGAAATTAGGTCCTGCATTTATGTCAATGCTGCCTTTGTTCCAGAACACACAGTGACAGTTTCTCATACGCTATAAACTAACGTAGGTCGTTTAAAGCAGAACGCACCGAGGCTTCTCAAGATCGTGCATGAAAAATAGGCCTCACCAGACCTCACAAGGTGTGTTTGGTCTCCTGATACCTCCTTAAAACAAGCGTTTGTAGCTATGTCTGTGATGCTACACTCTCACTTTCCTCAGAGGCAGGCTCCGTCCTCGCTGAGTTCAATATGAACAGTGACCAGGTCCTTTAAGAGCTTACTGTGACTTAAACCAGTCTGCACCTTGGCATTGTACTAAAATATATTTACACAAATGATAGAAATCGGAATGAAGTCAGTTTATTAAAAAGAGTAACCTGGGCTATGAGAACAGACAGCAGGGAGTCGTGAAATCCACACTCAGCCATTTGATCCTGCAGAATTCCTGGGACAGGGACTCTAGAAATCATTGCGTATGGATCCTAATTGCATGGGCCATGACAAATTTGAGCAGGAGAAAGAAATCAGTGGAAGGTGTGCCCAAAAAGACTGAATACCGATCCTTAGAATTTGATCCTTGTTACTAAAATATATAGTGAGCAGTAGAAGCAGTGGCTTCTTTTCAACGGAAGAAAGATCCAAAGCCATAGTTGGAAATGAAAGCTGAAATGAAAATTGATTTTATTTAGCTAACCAACATTGTAAAGTTTGTTTCACTCATTTAATGGTTTCTTCTTTTAAACGGATATTGTCCATTAATTTTTTTTCTGTAATTGTTGCATTGCCAGCTCCCAGGACAGTCCTGTCAAACGCCACTCTGACGCTGTCTTCACTGACAACTACAGCCGCTTTCGAAAGCAAATGGCTGTGAAGAAATACTTAAACTCAGTTTTAACTGGAAAAAGAAGGTACTACAAGAAAGCAAATATATATTATTTTCATACTTGTATGGTATTAAGACAGAAAAGATTATACAGAGAGGACAAACAAAAGGCAATGAACATTAATGACTTTGTAATGTAGTTTATAACATGGTTTTCAAATACAGACAGCACTTTCTTCCAGACTGGAACAGACACTACAATCAGATTAGAATAAAAGAATAAAGAGGAGACAGCATCTGGCAATTTTAAAAAGCTTCTGACAGGCTCTTAAAATGATTTTATTTATAAAAAAGCCTCTTAAGGAAAAATCCACAGAGCTATGGAAAATGAACAACAATTTTATAAAGAAAATGCACTATTTGTTGAAAATCTGTCTTTAAGTAAACACATAAAATGAAAATTTAGAAGTCCCGGAAAGACCATATTTCCTAATCAGTATAGGTGAGAAGTGCCAGCATATGTTTTTGTAGAGCTTATATTCTGTTTGTACATGCACTCATTTAGACAAGTCCTTTTAAATTTCATGTCTCTTCACCCATTAAACATGCTATTTCATGTGATTTGTAACACTTTGGTATAAGCGTAACAAAACGTGCAATAGCTACGGTTAGAAGGCGGCTTTGCTTGCTTGTTTGCTTTTTCTTCGGAGAGCAATAAAACTTGTTTCTGATCCACAACAGCCAGGAAGAGCTAAACCCCGCTAAACTTCCAGACAAAGCAGAACTTCTTGAACCTTCCTTTTCAGAAAACTATGATTCTGTAGATGAGCTGCTGAGCCACCTCCCACTGGTATGCCCAGATTTTCGTTCCTCTTGCTATCTGTTACTTGACTTGACCCATAAAATGAGATTAATCGTGCATGAAGTGTGGCTTTTCTGACAGAAAAGCAGAATCGTCTAGGAAAGAACCATGTTCCATGAAACGCTGCATGTTTCTATAGGGGTTGTGTCTGAATATAATAATCATTTTAATAACAATAATTAAGTTATCCCATGATTGCTGTTATTGAAAATTCCTAATTAAATGGCACTGTTAATAATGCACCTAACTCACTCGGGTGTTTCAACTTGTGTGCACTGCAGCATAAAACCAGAATTGACTCATTTTTAATTACAAAGATTATTATTTCTTCAGAGAACAAACTCAAGGATATTTCTTTTAATTAAAAAAAAAAAAGCTGCACATTTTAATTAACATCTATTTCATTAGAAGGGAGTTGCCCCTAGAACTGAGAGGATCAGCAACATGAACCCTAAGCATTAAGAAAGCACTTGACTCCCATCTAAGGCGTGCTGCAGAGGGATCGTCTGACATGCAGATATTGCAGTTACTGTTTTCCATTTAGCTACTACTGTTTTTCTAAAATCATTCACACATATGTGCATTTTATTTAACATCTATTTCATTAGAAGGGAGTTGCCCCTAGAACTGAGAGGATCAGCAACATGAACCCTAAGCATTAAGAAAGCACTTGACTCCCATCTAAGGCGTGCTGCAGAGGGATCGTCTGACATGCAGATATTGCAGTTACTGTTTTCCATTTAGCTACTACTGTTTTTCTAAAATCATTCACACATATGTTTCTTTGGTTTATGGAAACGTAAACCCTTCTACATCACAGCACTTGCAAGGACATAAAATTGAAAGGGTAACGTAGAAGTGAATCGGGCTTGGTATTCTCGAAAGTGTATTATGAAATTGATAGGATGGTTTTTGGCATTCAGCTGTGTCTCAACTACAAGTAAGAAAAAAGACTAATCTTGAAGATAATATTTTTTTTTGGGGGGGAGGGGGATAAAAGAAAAGGCATTTCTCCAAACTATTGTTTCCTTCCAAGACTGAAAGAAAATGTTCTTTTCCTTTCCACAAATGTGGTAGTTCCTCTAAAGTTCCCAAAGATTAGAAAGGACATAAACTGCTTATGCTTCAAGGAACAAAACAATTTGCAAGTGATGGGATTCAGGAAAGAAATGTTCTTTCTAGACAAGATTATTGCAAAAATATCTGCTCCTGGATTTTGCACCTTCTAAAACTTCTGGCATTGACTAAGTGAGACAGAGTAATGGTGCAGCGGGTCGCGGGTGTCTTCCTGGAAATATTTTCAGTCCTTTCCTTTTTTATGGACTGTACTGATGATCCAGATCTCCCTATGGGTGAATCGCTTACTCGGTATTGACTGTTGCTGGTCATTTTGTCGCAGTGCCGAGTTGCTGAGGTAGTGTGTATCAAGCAACCTGATTTCGTGTATCTGTCCTGTAGGCCAATGTGCAGTAACATTTTTGCCTAATCCTTCGACCTCTCTTCCTCATCCTACAGCCTTGTCTGCTGGCCGTAGTGCCCACCAAGCTCCTGTGAATAGCTCCATCTCGTGCTTGTCAGTCCCAAGCGCAGCGATTGTTTTATATCAAGTGTTACTTCTTGTCTACTGTCTGCTTTTATACACCTCATGATGCAACTGCTTACGAAAATAACTTTTAAAACATATTTCTCCTTTGCTTTTCAGGACTTCTGAAGGACACCTGGTAAAGTCTATGACAAGAACAAGCTATTTTTGAGTTCCACATAGTATTTCAAAGAGATGACTTTAGTCATCGAACCAGAACAAATATGTTGTGAAGTGAAAGTTGTGATATATTTGTTTCTTATGTAATAAAAGTTGATATTTACATTGTAAATATTACTCTAGAGTTCTCTCCTGAAAGCTGTACATATGGATGCCGGTTTAACTCATGAGAAGTCTGTGAGTCCATATGCTGTAAATCCTTTACTTCAATAAATTCATTTGAAAATGAGTGTGCAGCTGAAAAGAGCCCATCATTACTAATTAATTGGCTTATTTTATGTGTGGTACAACTTCAGATAAGCCTGTATGATAATAGGGATACATTTCCAGATAGCTTCATAAACAAGTATAAAAACATGAGGAAAAGAATATACAAAGTGTGCAAAACTGCATTACAAAGATCTCTGAAGGTTACTGCCAAGCAAAAGGGAATGCTTTTCCATCAGCTTACCAAGCAACTAGAGAAAATGAAAAAGCATTAAAAATTATTTGACCTCCGACAGCATCTTTCCTTCCCGTTCACATTTTTAATATTTTACAATATACAAATTATATTAAGACCAGAAATGTATCCTTTATTTTCAGTTGTGTTTTGGATGCTCTGGAGCTGACAAAGCATGCAAAGAATGCTATCCCTTGATTCGTTTGATGCCTAAAGTCACCAGTTATTCTACACTTAATTGTCTGTAGCTTTGATGGTGAAACTATTCCATATATATAAAATAGATCTGAAGACACTTCACTATTTTTTCAGAATGAATGTAATTTACAGAGTATGCATACAATAAATCATTTTATTATCACGGCAAACTATTACTGGTTTGAATCAGTGCTACAGATACCTGGAACAGTAGAGGTCTCAGTAAGTGCTGTATCTACTACAGTAATAGAGGAAGATACTCTTTTTTAACTGAGGTATACTGTGTTATATTAGAAAGACAGGCAAGTCTCCAGTCCCCGTTTCTTTAGCTTTATATCATTGTAGCTTAGTATGGAACTGGAAATCTGCAGCTGATTCACTGTTGCTGTGAATCAGAATCTGGTTGTATTTTATTAAAATTGCAGATTTAACTAATTGGATCATTTTCTAAAGAATTATTTACTGTTGTAAGGACCGATAGTTCCATTGCAGTAAGGAAAGTGCGCGGTACTGCATGCACAACATATGAAATGCATATTCATGCATGATACCAGCCATAACACTCCCAAGACTCCCCTCCCACCTCCTAGAAAGAGATGAAATTCGAAGTAGGAAAACTTATCAGGCCTACTTACAAGTTCAATTTGGAATTTCAAATATACTTATACATATGCACACATAGACAGTGATAAAACTGATTTACAAGTTTAACTTCCAAGTTTACTGTTCTAATTTAGAAGGAAGCTTCAAACAGGATAAAATTTGTGATTTATGGAGACTAGTTCTCATAAATATGTAGCCTTCTGATTTGCAATTTTTTTTAATATTGGCAACTGCATGTTAAAAGAAAACCAGCTTGCACAGATCAGATGCTATTATTGCTATTTCTGTCTAGCCTTGACAGAATTTATTTTAGCCTAAGCCGATGAATGGTTCACAAAAGTTAGACATAATTTTGAAGTCTTCTCTTGAAAAGTGGTCTTCTAATGGTGGTCCACTCTCAATTCCTATCACGATGAAAATTTGAGTGCAAAAGTGGCTTTGGAAATAGTTGAAGGATACAAACAGACTGATGTTATAGTACTTAATTGGAAATTTTCTTCAGTGTAGTTTGAACTTTGTTAGGATTTCTGTGATAAGTAATCCTTGAAAAAATAAGTGAAAAAAATTAACCAGAAGCAAAACTGCATGTGGTCTTCATACACAGAACTGTTTGTTTAAATATACATAATGTTCATTCACTCAATTTAAAGTAACAAAATTGGAGGGCTCAAACTTTTGACTCCACAATTCCAGAAATCTTTATTTTTTTTTCTAAATTTGCCTTCTTTTATTTATTTCCAGTTTACCCATAAGGCATCTGATGGAAGAACTTGTCTTCCATGCCTAATGTTTAATCTCCCCAATATTTCGTTCTTCACAGAAAACTGCAGAACCTTAGAACATGTATTTTCTCTGTTACAATGGAGATGGAGTGGGTTACAGAAAAAAGGGACGCTTATTAGGAAATCACATATATATAT